GTGTGTGTGTGTGTGTGTGTGTGTGTGTGTGTGTGTGTATTCCTGTGGGGGGGGGTGGTGGATGCTGTGTGTGTAAAGCTTTGCATACACGAGTGTAAATTCTTGTGTGAATCCTGCGAATGTGAGAAATCCTGCAGCTCATCCTGATGTCGGGAGATTTTGAGTGCCTGCTGAGCCAAAGCGGCTTTGACTTTTCTTCTTTTTATCATCCACTTAAAATGGTTTTGTTGGAATTTTTAGTATTGTAGAAATACCGTTCTCTTTAATGTTGAGTGAGCATATGGGTCTCTGCAGCAGGCTGCTATTATTCAAATTATAGGCCAGGTTTATTGTTGCCATTAAGCTGGGTCAGGGTGTAGCATGTTACAGCAGACCTGCCTGAGCTGCACTCTCTATTGACATCTCTCTCACACACACACACACACACACACACACACACTGTCTCAGCATGTCAGCCAGTAGTTGCATTACCTTCAAAGAGCTGCTAGATGTTTACTGTTGGCCTTCTCCGGTATGTGCCATAAAGGTTATCGACGGAACCCTCTCATCTCCCCTGCTTGGCTTTTGATGCATTGCCATAAACTGTGTGTCCTTACAGTGAAATGGAAAACCCACAGAGGGAATCACTTAGTTCCCCCTGCTATGAATTGGGCCCGAGAGACCGTCCTCCCGGGTTCCTGTTCTGTTTGATGCGTCTTCTTTTTAACTATGGCTTCACGAGGCTTCGAGTTTGAGACGACCTGCTTCTGCTCTGCCTCACAAAACGGTCTCAATGCGGATGAATTGCGATCCCTTCGCTTGCCTCCTGTCGGCAAGTTTAAAAACCATCAGCGGAGTCAAAGAGCTGAGTGTAAGAATTCAGAGCAGGCGTTTCAGACTTGTTCTGTCAGGCTTTCTGTGGCTGATGAGATCGGAATTTACATGGCTACTGAGACGCCTATTTTTGTGTAGAAAATAACCTTGAAACTGTCTTTCATCTCTGTTCGTTCACAACGGTTTATGACAACCCCCTCCCCCCCCCCCCCCCCCCAACACTCGCTGCACACTATAGGAACTGCAAGCCTGACTGAATCTGAGTCTGAACCGCAATCAACCGCAGCATCTCGACTCCTTGTGGAGTTAAACAGAAACAGGCTTGAGATGCCTGATAACTGTTTTGAGTGATGTTTATGTATTTGCGCTGCCTGTTTTCACACAGTCAATACTATTGACTAGATAATTAAGGGTCATAGATTGAGTCATTTGTAGTGAACACCGGCTGTTTCGATGACACGCAATTGATCCTCATTATGTTTAGTGATCACTGTTTATGTCAAACAGAGGGACCAGTGTTAAGACAGTATAATAAACGGATACTATGCACAGACATAACCACAGATCCCGACTGCTGCAGGTGCAGATGGGCCTCGCAGCTTGTTTCATAGAGGAAATGATGTAGCGGGTTCATCTAAATGCTTGTGTTGGAGGAGGCCGGATCCGGGCTGAAGGGTGCAGTGCCAGCACAAACAGGAAACTACTGCAGTGAGGAGTTGGCATCGTGTGAAAAGGAGGCCAGCTGACCTCTGTACCTGCCTCCCTTTCATCATGTGTTGCCACTGGGACTGGGACTATATTGGTCTTCATGAACCAGCTCAACATCCTGGACTGTGGAGTAAAAGCTCAAGCTTTTTCCAGAGAAAGTGGCTGACAGTGTGAATGTTCATGCGTGTTCCTCTGGATTTCAGTAACTTTGAGTCTTATCTGTTGATGATGTCTTACATTAATCTTTACTGTAAATGAAAATGTACAGATTACAGATCACGCACATACTGTGTAGTCTCGAAGGAGTCGTTTTTGGGAAACACATTTCCTTTCATGCAAATAGTTGGATGAGAAGATTGAAGCTGGATCTAGCGGCCAGTTAGCTTAGCTTAGCTTAGTGTAAATACCCTAAACGGGGAAACAGCTAGCCTGGCTCTCTCCAAAGGTAACAAAACCTGCCTACTAGCACCTCACAAAGCTCACAAATAAACGTGTTGTATCGTGTTTAAGTAGTCCACACAACAATTGAGATAATAACATGTTTATTAGTCAGCTCAAGTGGTGCTGGTAGGCAGATTACTTGTTTTTAGTCTTTTAAAATAAACTAAGCTAACAGTCTGGATATTATAATACAAGAATGTGAACCAAAATGTCAATACATTTCATATTTTGTCCCTTTTTCCTAATTGGTGCTATTTCTTGGGATATGTTGAATAGAACCTCTAACAAGTAAAACAAGTTTCTGCACCGTTGCCCTGGGGAGCTTAAGCAGACCGGAGCCACTACTTGGCTTAAAATGTGTTGTTCATCAAACAGACTGGACCGAGCCGGGTTCTTCTCTGCAGTCACCATTACCACTTTTGTGCTAGCAAAGGTTTTGTAGCATTTCTTTCATCCTCTTCTACTCCATTATCTTTCTTTTTTACTCGCACTGATGCTGAGTAACGCTGACCTTTTTAAAGGCTGCTCATGCCGCTAAACAGTCAGAGACGTTCCTGTCACAACGGCCCAACAACATGAATGATCTTGCCCCCCCCCCCCCCTTTGGGGTGAAAATGCACACACAACAATGCAACACATACAGTTGCACTGCTGCAAATCATAGCAGTTAAACGAACAGCAAACGTCCCGCAGGAAGCTTCATGGATTCTTGAAACATTGTTCTATTACCAAATCATTTTCTTTGAATGACGAGGATTGTGTGTTGTTTTGGGATGAACTGGCTATTTCCTGTGTCTGCGGTCTCGTTGGGAGCGATTTGTGCCACACAGACATATCTGCACACTTGTACCCCGAGTGTTTCCTGTTTGGCTTTCTGTGAGTTCAGTGCCCTTCCTGTGTCCGGCAGCCTCATTCCTAGACAGATATAAGGGGTTGTTTGAGGTCATGTTGCTGCAGAAGAATGACAGCGAGACCCTAAATGATCTGGTCTTCATCCTCAATTGCTACTTTGATTGCTTGTCCGACCAGCCGACATACATCTATGATTGTCTAGTTAGAGAAATTAAGAGCATGTGTCATCAAGAGGGCGCCAAAAGTGTTAGGCAATCTGAACGGTTTCTGTTGGATGGGATGGTGTTTATATCGATCTAGCATTTGAAAGCTGTAATCTTGTAAATCTGCTTTTCTGCATCGTCTTCTATGATTCACTAAGTTTTTTTTATTTCTCTCCCTCTTGCGGACAGAATGAAGATGCCTGAGGCTGGGAGTTAGAGCCCTCCACCAGAGAGAGCTTTTTCCAGGTCTGGGGCTGGACCCAGAGACCCCTGCCTTGTGGGGGGGTGAAGGACCCTCACAGCCCTGTGTGAGTCTGGAATATGGGGGATGGAGGCGCCGGTGCAACTGGAGGAGATGGGGTGAACAAGTCCCATGTCCTGTTCGACAAGTTCGTCCAGGGGACCACGTTTAAGGGCACGCTCAAGGCCTTCCAGGAGCTCTGTGACCACCTGGAAGTCAAGCCCTGCGGGTACAGGGTCTTCTATCACAAGCTCAAGTCCAAACTCAACTACTGGAAGGCCAAGGCGCTCTGGGCGAAGCTAGACAAGCGGGCCTACCAGAAGGAGTACAAGAAGGGCCGAGTCTGTGCCAACTCAAAGGTAAGCTTTGATCTTTACACACTGTGTGGTTCATTCGAGGACGGCTTTGCTTCTAGAGGGCTTCAGTTCGGTGAGCGCTAGAATTTGATCCTTGATGTTAAGGAATCGCGTAATGTGATGCTGATATTTACCAGCAAGACCGGTGTGTGTGTGTGTGTGTGTGTGTGTGTGTGTGTGTGTGTGTGTGTGATGGCTTTATGTGAAAGGACACTGCAAGGACACTTTTTCACTTCAGTTCAGTCTGGGGAATTTGATTCGTCACCTGCTCTGGTTTCCAGTGTATAAAACCCCAAAATAGGTGTCTGTTGTGTTTTTTCTGTTGAAAAGTTGATTTGATTGCTGGCGCAGCTTTGAACTGTCATTTACAGATAGTTTACCTAAGTCAACCAAATAATAGACGTAGCTTAGCTTAGCCTATGTAAGCTCAGCCTATGCAATGTCATCGTACCTTAGTTTATGTTATCTCAGCTTGTGATTTCTTATGTTGTCTTGTCGTAGTTTTAATAAGTAAAGCTAAAATACGCTAACACAGCCAAAAATAATTAGCGTTGTTAGCTTGTTTTAGCTTTGCTTATCAGCTGTCAACTATTGTCTTCATAGGCTTTTTGTTCTCATCATGCGTTGCATCCCGTTATTTAGTGCCTTACAACTAAGTGCAACCAACCTCAAAAAGAGCAACCCTCCCAAATACAGTTAGCTAAAAGCTAGTTAGTTCTTTTGCTAGCCTGGGCTGTCGAGGTGCCCTCTGAATAGGTGGGTGAAAGATGGGCAGTGACTCTGCTGTCCTGACTTGGTTGTTCATGTGTACGGTTCACGTCTGTCTTTTAGCTCCTCTGTTACATCTGTCTGCCTCTCTCTGTATTTAGTGTCTGATCATTGGTGCGGGACCATGCGGCTTACGCACAGCTATCGAGCTGGGTTTACTCGGGGCAAAAGTGGTGCTGCTGGAGAAGAGAGACGCCTTCTCGAGGAACAATGTGCTGCACCTCTGGCCCTTCACCATCCAGGACCTCAGGGGCCTCGGGGCCAAGAAGTTCTACGGAAAGTTCTGTGCTGGTGCTATCGATCATATCAGTGAGTACACTTGACATATTTGCTTGTAGGACAAGATTTGATGTGTTTGGAAGAGTTAGTTCAGATTTCCCTTCCTGACTTGTTGCAGGTATTCGTCAGCTTCAGTTGATTCTGCTCAAAGTGGCCCTCCTGGTGGGCATTGAGATCCATGTCAACGTAGAGTTCAAGGGTCTTATCGAGCCCCCAGAAGATCAAGAGACTGAAAGTAAGTGAGTCAAACTGCTGAAAGACAAGTCAAACAAATGAGTGGAAACAAAAACACGAGTTTCGTCCGTCAGAGGCTCCGTACTGGCTGCGATGATGCATTTCTGTCAGATTACACATGCTGTGTGTTTTCTCAGGGATAGGCTGGAGGGCTGAGGTCCACCCCAGGACACACCCTGTCAACGAGCTGGAGTTTGATGTCATTGTCGGAGCAGATGGAAGGAGAAACACGCTACCAGGCAAGTCCTCGTGTACCAGCTGGGAGAAAGGCACGAGCAATGCAAGAGAAAGCACTAACTGCGCCGTTTGTTTTTTCTAAACCTACTTGGAGGTCACTCGGAAGGATTATGATCTCACTTGTGTTGCTGACCTCACTCCGTTCCTCGCGTATGAATGCGCACATCTGTGTTATGTGTGTGTGTTTGTTTTTGTCTGGCTGCTGCGTCCGAAGAGCATTTCTGACGGCTTCCCCAGCAGAGCAGAATAGGAATTGTTGAATTGGCTGTCTGTTTCCTCTACGAGTGTTGGGGCCTTGCACACACACACGGCCACACCCCTGTGGTGTAGAGTACCATGACCCCTCTCTGTACTACTGACTGCTGCATCAGGGAAGGGAAGCAGCAGGCTCCCTCTGGGATAACCATGAACTGCAATCACACAGAAAAAAAACACTATAAAAACTGTTTACGTTGTCATGATACAGAACATCTGGTTGCATTTATAGTGTACAATGTGCATTTGCAGGGTTTGATATGTCGTAAAAGCAAACGTGAGCAGGTCGAGTTGACTCTCTGTTTTTGAATTTATGGAATCACCGTTTCAGGTCCTATGCCCGCTGATTCCTGACCTTGATGGCTGCTTCCTCATCCTGTTGTACTTTCCCCCTCAGGGTTTCCACGTAAGGAGTTCAGGGGCAAGCTTGCCATCGCCATCACCGCTAACTTCATCAACAGGAACACGTCGGCGGAGGCCAAGGTTGAGGAGATCAGCGGGGTGGCCTTCATCTTCAACCAGAAGTTCTTTCAAGACCTCAGAGAAGCCACAGGTCTGTTGCAGCTCTGTTCTACTGCATTGATGTAGGGACTTTATGTTGTTTTCTTCAGACGCAACACCTCAGAATACAGCATAAAATATGAAAAATATTTTTTTCAACTACTTCATGGAATCAGCAATTCTCTTTTTTGTAAACAGGATAAATAATCTGTCCTTGGATCACTGTTCTGAATTTCTCAGCTCCTCCAATTAAAATGCTTAACTTTAGGTCTGATGCCAAGCCTGCCACGGTTTATTGCTGACACGACAATGTTCCCGGGGCTTTGGTTATGTGCTCTGAGTCGGGTAATTGCTCCTCATGACAGGACATGACAGCCAGCAGTGGCAATAAGGAAAACGATTGTTTGGTGTATAACAGTACGTCTTTCTCTTGGGTCTTTTTAAGGTGTTGACCTGGAAAACATCGTCTACTACAAGGATGACACGCACTACTTTGTGATGACTGCCAAAAAACAGAGCCTGTTGGAGAAAGGAGTCATTCTGCATGTGAGTGATCAAAGTCCAGATCTCAGTCTCTCTGTACGAGACATAAAGGCTGTACACATGCACAGGCGGACAGAATCAGAAGTCTGTCCCTCTCTTGCCTTTTTTGTCAACAGTGTTCGGGCACAAACTGCCAACTCAAGCACACTTACTGAGTGTTTGCGTCCTCACTATACACAGTAGTTTCCTTTCCCTGGCCACTTTCCACAGGAAAGACCTTTTTTTCTGTCTTCATGTACAAACATAACTGAAGGTGGGCTCTGTTTGTGTGGTGGCTCTTTGGATTCTAAATTGCCCAAAAAAGTCTCTTTAAATGAGCGTTTTTTGCAGTCCTAGTCACAGTCACCGTTCTTCTGCTGATCATTTTAGACGTGCGTGCAAGTCCGTGATTGTTTTCATGGTGAGCTGATGACGTTAATGAGGTTTTGGTACACACAAGTCTTGAGCCCTGAGGGGATTTAGAGTATGTAGGTATGTGTAATGAAAAGTCATACTTTACTGGTCTAGTAACTTCTGGAAGTTCCCTTTTTGATACAAAGTCCTCGACGGATGCTTTTTATAGCAATGGAATTGACTCTGTCCTGCCCCTTGGAAAGGGATAGATAGAGGAAGGGTGGAAAAGATGGCAGAGGGGCGGCGGGTCCACACAGTTCAAGGCAGCAAATCACAAAAAATCGACTCGCATTCATATCTTCCACTAACCTGCCCTTCCCCTCACCCATCATCACCACCACCGCCGGCCTTGGCATTGGACAACCAGGGAGCTTGTAGATGGACGAATGTGCCTCTCACGCCCTCTGTGACATCATGTCACTTTGAAAGAATGCAGTGATTTGATGCTACGGCTCACTTAATTCCACTGCAGTCCTGATTGTGCAAGTTGAAAACCGCTTCATGACACCTCTCTGGACAGCTCTTCTTTTTTTAGTTTTCACCCGTCTTGTCTCTGCTGTAGGACTACGCAGACACGGAGCTGCTGCTGTCCAGGGCCAACGTGGACCAGGCTGCCCTGCTGTCTTACGCCTGCGAGGCTGCAGATTTCTCCACCAACCACCAGCTGCCCACACTGGACTTCGCCATCAACCACTACGGCCAGCCCGACGTAGCCATGTTCGACTTCACCTGCATGTACGCTTCAGAGAACGCCGCCATGGTGCGCCAACGCCATGGCCACGAGCTGCTGGTGGCGCTCGTGGGCGACAGCCTGTTGGAGGTGAGAGAGAGAGAGAGAGAGAGAGAGAGAGGATTTTTGTGCATCACAGCTCTTCCTCCCTTTTTGTTTTCGTAAACCCTCGGTTCGTCCGTGGCCATATTTGGTTGTTGAATGTGGTGTTCGCTGTTGTCTGCAGCCCTTCTGGCCCATGGGCACTGGTATCGCCCGCGGGTTCCTGGCTGCCATAGACTCCGGCTGGATGGTGAGGAGCTGGGCTCAGGGAAAAACCTCTCTTGAGGTTCTAGCTGAGAGGTGAGGGTGTGGAAACACTGAAACACAAAGACTCACCCTGCTCTTGTACTTGCATTCACACACGCACACACACACACACATGCGGGCACACACAGCGACAGCATACACACATACGTGAACTCTCTCTTCAAACACACCCTTTTATCTCTAAGTGTTATACGAGGAAATGCGCCTGTATGTGATTTCAAGCACCAGTCCCACCTCTGCCAGTACTAATGGGATAAGAGGTTCACATAAGGACTGAACGGAATGTGGCTCCTCTGTTCCGCAATAACTCTCTGTGCTTTTTGATAACAATGTTAATGAGTTTTCGTAGTCTATTCCCTTAGTATCCCCCTATATGTTCCTCCCATCAATAAGACTCTGCTTACATAGCACATGGGAATATATTGAATGTTTTCCTCTGTGCTTTAGGGAGAGTATATACCGCCTACTGCCCCAAACCACTACAGAAAACATCAGTAAGAACTTCAGTCATTACAGCGTGGATCCAACCACGCGTTACCCCAACATTAACCTTAACTTCCTCAAGCCTATGCAGGTGAGTGCGAGAGCCGACAAATCTCAGCTGCCATCAAGAAACGCATGTTTTGTTCATGTCATGCAGTATTTCCGATATGTCGTGTTTATGTGTACGTTGCAGGTGAGGCACCTCTGCGACACAGGGGAGTCAAGGGAAATGCGCATCGAAATTGAGAATGTGATCAACTCGTCGACACCGAAGTTGGCCAGGAATGGTTTGTATCTTTAACATTCTTCAAAAGGAGACTATAAAGTGTTTAAGCAGTGGATAAGACATTCTCTGATGTGCTGATTGATCAGTGTAGGATTTTATTTTTGCTGCAATCACTGTTGCTGAAATGTAATATTGAACTATTTTCACTCTAGACAATTGCCTGCTTGACAAGCAGTTGCAAGGTAACGCAAAGTCCAAATGCATGGTGTTGCTTTTCAAGGATTCCTAATAGTTTTAACAGTTGAAAAGTCGACCCGCTATGAATTAATAATGTGAAATTAATAGTGGAATGATGGCACTTGTGGATGGACTGATTGCAGCCTCTTAATTTATTTCCGCGTGTACTAACTCGCTCATTCAAGCTCCCCGGTTTTATTTAATATCCATTGCAGCTGTTTTTAAGGTTCCTTGTGGGTTCTGCATCCTCTCCTAACTCCACATTTGCATCCTTCTCCTCCTTTTAAAAGCTTCACACAGTTCATAATACTTCCTCATTGGCTGGTTAAAACTGGTACTAACATGGATGATGACGCCATGGATGACTAAACTTAATGACACCACGCTCAGCCTTCCCTGTCCAAGGCCATGAGGATTGCCCATCTCTTACACATCTCTTATGTGTAGTGCTGCCCAGAAACAGTTTATATTTCTTTCTATGTTTAATCCAGATTATGTTCAACCTGCTGCTTTACCGTCGAGCCTTTATTTTTGTCTTTCTGCCTCACCAGAATCCGTAGCTCGATCCAGTAAGCTGCTGAACTGGTGCCAGAGACAAACGGAGGGATACAGGAATGTTAAAGTAACTGACCTTACGATGTCCTGGAAGAGCGGTCTGGCCCTGTGCGCCCTCATTGACCGATACCGACCGGACCTCATGTGAGTATCTAAAAGAAATGCATGCAGAACTAGGGAGGGGCCTTTCCCGAGTCAAATAGCTGGATCAGTTATCTGCGACAATGGGGCCAATATATTCAGTTCAGTACTAATGTTTATATACTATGGACATTATATTTAGAATTTTAATTCCTGGTTTAAGTTTTGACCAATTTGTTGCAGCAATAATAAGTTTAACACTTATTGTAATTACTGTTAATTTAGAAGTTTTTTTTTTTTTTTTTACTAAATTGCCGGTGTGCAATTGATTATTTTAGTAATTTTAGTAAAATAACAATTCACCAAATTTATATCTAAATATTTGTTATATTTCACAAAATAATAAAACAACGTTTAGGTCAAGCCTGATGTTTCCTTACACATAAAAACAATGATCCCGGTCACTTCCACACAGTGAGGCTTACAGCTTATTAATTAAACACAGGTATCGGATCGGTACTCTGTATCGGCCGATGCCAAAAGCCGAGGTGTCGCTATCGGGACTGAAAAAGTTGGATCGGAGCATTCCCTATGCAGAACACGCATCGCAAGGAGCCCTGATTAACACGGATAGCAGATTTGTTTTGCAAGAAAACATTTGCATACTCTGCCAAGTGTATCCCTTCATAGTCAGAGTGAAAGGGTTAAAACTCCTGCCGTGCCTGTAATGACGGGCCCGCTGTGTTTATGTGAGTTTTGTTGGTTGCAAGTGATGTTTATCGTCTGGTTGGGACCTTGCTATTGAGTCGTACATCACTGTAAATGAGTTGACAGCTACCAGTCATAATGGCCTCTTGGGTCCCTTAAGGGAGCCCTCCGTATGTCCTGGCTTTCCCTCCCAAACACACACGCACACACACGCACACACATAAACTCTCTCTTTACCCTTACGCGCAGTAAAAACAACGCAGTCTCCTGCCGCATTGCTTAATGTAGTTTGTTACCCTCTGGAGGCTATGTGGCAATTAGCATCATAAGCTATAGGTGTCCGTGTCCTGCCTGACCTTTACCAAGTAGTGCAGCAGTTGCGCTCCGCTGCCTTTGATAGGCCAGTTGATGGGAGGGGGGGGGGGGGCAGGGATGAGTGGAGGTACCTCTGGGGAAACAGCATTCACGTGTATTCGTGTACAAGACAGGCGGTTAAGAGGGATGGAGTGGAGAGTTCGCTCTGTGCCTGATGTGCTGTTCTAATGCTTTTAAGTGGACTGTATGTGCAGTTGAGATGTATTGATGACCCATCTTAATGGTGTTTTCAGCTGCAGTATAATGACGTTCACAGTAATGCTTTCCACAACATGTACAGTAGCCGGCTGTACACAAATGCTTCTTCGTTAGTGTTTAAGGCAGGCTCCGTGCCACTTCACATCCATTATATCCACAGCTGCTGTTTAGTTGTGGTTGGAAAATATAGATTGGCGCACTCTTTTTATTTTCTTCTTCTTTTTTTTTTTGCTGATTCATTATAAAATGGGAGCGATATTTGATCGGTCTTCATTGATTTGGTGTGCGAGATGATGAGGAATCATCAGCTCGGTCAAAGTCTTTGTTTCATATCACATTGTACGTTAGGAGATCATAATTAGATTGTATTAAAGAATTTAAAAGCTGCAGTAATCAATACTTTTTAAATTAACCATCAAATGGACAGTGTGTAATGTGAAGGGGTCGCTCATAGTGACCCACCCACATGATTACCATCCCCACTTGAGGAGGCTTGAAAGCGTCTGTCAGCTCATTGTTTTTGTATTTCAGCCCGCTGCTGTTTTGTTGACTGACTCTCTCTCTCACAGCGCTGTTTCCAGCCACAACAGGCTGCTGTTTTTTAGAGAAACAACTCTTAAAAACCACCCATGTGCTGGCAGACAGACAAAGTTAGCAATTAGCCGGTGAACATAGTGTAGCATTTAGCAGCTACAGATCCAGGTTCTTCCCTCAGGAGGTGGTGGAGAGCACAACGGGGCAAGTGATGATGGGACTTATACATCCGTCAGGGGGTCACAAACGTGACTCCAAATGAGTAGTGAATGATAATGTTGCTCCGTATTTGTTGGATTTGTAAATAAGCAGCTTTTTGCTGACAAATTTGCCATATCAATGTGGTTACACAATGTCAATATCGTGTCCACAGCTTGCTTCTGTTGCCCCCAAGTGGCGGAAAAATATCACACTTTAGTACACTTAAAGTACACCTAAAGTACACCTGTGGTGTAATACTGTTAAGGGGTCAAATGAAATATAATCACCTCTCAATGACAATAAACAATGTGGGTCAGGTTTCAATATGGCCATCGATGGAGAATGATAATTCAAAGTCACATTCTTTGTCTTTCTCATTAATATTTCATTAATATAACTAAAGAATCACAACTTAATTGACAGGAGCAGCAGAGATTTCAGATTACTGAGACGAGTGCTTGTTGGTTTATGATCATATTTGTCTATTTGTCTCATTCTCTCTTCAGTGACTTCGATTCCCTGGATGAGCGAGACCAGGAGAAGAACAACCAGTTGGGTTTCGACGTGGCAGAGAGGGAATTTGTCATCTCGCCCTGCATGACGGGCAAGGAGATGTCTTCCGTGGTAGAGCCGGACAAACTCTCCATGGTCATGTACCTCAGCCAGTTCTATGAGATGTTTAAGGACACAGTGCCACCCGGAGGTGAGTGTGTGATACAGTAGGGCGTCTGCAGTCTGGTGTTGGGACGTGTCTGTATACAGTGACAACATAATTACCCTTCATACCGAGAGGATTGTAACAGCTGTTTTTGTGCTCTTAATTTTCCAATTTTGTTCCATTATTATTTCCGTACAGATAACCACAACTTGAGTCCCGAGGAGAAGGCGGCGCTGATATCCAGCACGAAATCCCCCATCTCCTTCCTCAGCAAGCTTGGTCAGAGCATAGCAATATCCAGGAAACGAAATCCAAAGGTCAGTGTTTGAGAAATGCCCGTTGGCACCTCTTAATTTGCATTTAAATGTCAAAATTAGAATAACTCATGATGTGTCATCAACAGGACAAAAAGGAGAAGGATGTGGACGGTTTGGGGAAGAGAAGGAAAACCAGCCAGTCTGAAGATGTGAGTACTTCTGACAGCAAAGCGTCTCAGATGTTGAGTTTGTGATTATGGTTTGAGCAGCCTATCCTACCAGAACGGACTAATTAATCCCACTACACTGACGGCAACAGGCAAAAGGCTTTTACTGTTTTTTTCTGCTTTCTGACAGGAGGAGGTATCCAGGACCGGTCGTGACGACAGGCCGTCTGTCCCGGCTGTCCTGTCAGAGAGAAAAATGGACTCCTGCGCTGTGGGGAACCACAACAAAGTCAAAGTCATGGCCACCCAGCTGATCGCCAAGTTTGAGGAGAACGCTCCGCAGCCTACGGGACTCAAGCGACAGGTATGGAGGAAGACGTGCGTGGTTCATTTTGTGGAAGCACAGCTGGTGTGATTGGGGAAAAAAAAAAAGGCTTAAGTTTAAGCAACATGGTCGGACTTTCTGGACTTCGTTAGAGTTCAGATTCTTTTTTACAAAGTCATTGTGGTTTGTTTTTCCCCTTCAATGAATAATTAGATGAACATGTAGATCTTACGCCGTGTGACGGGGCCTCTGGTCTCATGATTGACGAGCTGTAGGCCACTGTATTCATGAGCTGAGGTCCAGAATGCTAATATTGCTCAGGCTGGGTATTGTCCCTGGGGTCATGTAGGCGGTCTCACACTGCTGACCGGGCTCGGAGGTGAATTGGTTCGCAGAGCTTTGGTTCGCTTGCCACTGAGAGTGGGAGGGAGTAGTGGGCTTTGGGAACACTAGACGGTATTGTTGATCGGGGGGAAAAGACAACTGTTGCTGTTTGAGAAAAAATGTCTCGTTATTATGTGTCTTGGAATAGCTGCTTCTGATTTTGATGGTGGATTTCTTTGGCCTTTTAAAGTCAGTGAAAATAGCTGATTATATGATTATGTTGAGACAGAACTTAACTTGAAGTCTTTGAGGCTTTATAAAGGCTGAATAGCAGAGCAATTGTTTGGCTAAAGATACTATGCACACATTTGTGTATTTTCTCTCTTTCCGTCTTTTATTGATTTACCATCTGCATGACATTTCCTTTTAAATATCTCTAAGTGCTAAATACACAACTCTCAGCATGGTCTTCCTATGACTCTGTCATTTCCTTATTAGTTTTGAACACATGATTTTCCGACCCCTTTGACTCCATCCTCCCATGATTCACTTCCTTCTTTCTGTTTTTCTCTCTCCTTCTTTCCACCTCTCATCATGGACTATGTCATGATGCCTCCTTGCATGGTTGTCCGGGGCCTCTCACTGGCCTCGCTCGCTGTCCCTCATCTTTGTCTGACCACAAAGGGGGAGTCTCTGCCCAATCTGGATCGCCTTTTTCCCCTTACCCTGCCCCAAACCCCTGTGAATGAGCCTGTGCGCCTGGCACCTGTCCCGGCATGGAGAAAGGTAAAGAGTGTACCTGCCCCCCCCCCCCCACCTCATCCCCGTAGAGACTTACAGCTAGGCTGACCTCCTAACCATATGTCCTTGTGGTGTGTCATAGTGGGGAAAGCTGCTTTAGTCTGAGCCTCACCTGCTCTGTAGACCATTTGCAGATCTGTTGTTTGAGATTTGGAGGAATTAACTGAATGGCTCTTGTTGTGTGGTTAACAAAAACTGTGCGAGTGCTTTTTAACTTCTCAGTCAACTAGGTGTGTGTGTGTGTGTGTGTGTGTGTGTGTGTGTGTGTGTGTGTGTG